CTGTCATTGTCGATCGTGAATTTGGTTGACACTTCTATTATAGAGAAAGGGCGAATAGAGATATTAAAATATTTCTTCTAATTAATTTCCTTTCAATGTGTATGAATCTGTGCACTGGGCCTCTAGTAAATCATATAAATGCTTTGGGAAAATATTTAAATTTAAATTTCTTTCTGCTTGACATATAATACAATCATCAATGAAAATAACATAAAACTCATAATGTCCCACTACCATGAGTCTCATCAGTTCAAATATTATGTATTCACCACATAAGAACACTTATTTGAAAGGCCCTTATATAGTATTACAGTCATATATGAAAGAAACTTGGTTGAGGTTTGCTCAAATTTGCCAATAATTTAAAAACTTTAATTACCAATAATGTTGTGTGAGGCTTAAAGGAAATGTTCTAAATTACTGGTAATATTTTTTTCAATCAATCATGCTAAAGGAAAGATTAAATGATCTTTCTGATCTTTCTATAGAAAATAAGTTTGCAAACGGTTGTCTTCTAAAGAGAAGATTAAAGAGTTTGCAGCCAAAACATCTATGGAAAAATTTAATATAGAGGTGAGTCAAGCAATTAATTAGTAAATATACCATGTTATTTTCCTAGATTTGCATGGTATTTGTAGTATTTTTGTCCTAAGATCTTTTAATATGTTAATATTTTTTTCTCAGTCTAAATAAATTTTCACTTTTGTAACCTAACTTTGTATTAGGAATGTGGGACTTTTTTTTTCTTACAGAATGTCCCCAAATATATGTGAGCTTCAAGCTCATTAAAACCTAGTCATCATTCATTTATTTAACAAATATTGGTAGATCACCTGCTATGAATCAGGCACTGTGTGGTGCTGAGAACACAAACAATGAGCAATCAGATACCGACTGCTTCATTGAATTTCTACCTAGAGTTTCTTAGAATCTCTCCTGAAGAGTTGCATCAATTTCTGGCCCACACCTGCCAAACTGGAAATGCTTAAACTTAGTTTTGGTGCAGAAGAGAAAACAGATGTTTTGGCCATCTTCCGGGAAAAAATTTTGACCATCTTCTGGGAGAAGTTTTTCTTCTCACTCAGGTAACATATTCCTCAAGGGTCAGCTGTGGCCCTGCTCTGTGTTATCTTCATTCAGGTTGCAGAAGCTGTCCCTTGTGGCCCAGGAGAAAGAGAGTTGGCAGATCATGGGATGGTAAAACATCTGCTCAGGATGGTATATGTCATTGCCACTCACATTTCATTGGCCACGGTAAGTCGCATGACCAAGCCTGAAGCCAGGACTATAGTTATCCAATAGGAAGGACTCCAAAAATATGGCTGTACACATTTAGAACAATAATACAGTCTACCTCATAAGCCTTCTGGGGTTGATTAGAGAGAAAGATTAGAGATAAAGATATTTGAAATGTTTGTAAGATACCTTTCCAGAATGTTGGCTTTCAAATATCCATTTGTAGGATGTAATTAAAACTAACATATTACATATTACACACATATGTGATAACATTGTCCTTACTGCTTTAAAGTAGGTTATAGATCAGTGTTAGTAAAAATATAATGTAAGCCAGGTATGTAATTTAAAATATCCTGCTAAAGTAAAGAGTAACACATGAGGCATAGCTGGTTTGGCTCAGTGTCTAGAGCATCAGCCTGTGGACGGAAGAGTCCTGGGTTCAATTTCAGTCAAGGGCTCTGGATTGTGGGCTCGATCCCCAGTGGGGGGCATGCAGGAGGCAGCCGATTAGTGATTCTCTCTCATCATTGATGTTTCCATCTCTCCCTCTCCCTTCCTCTCTGAAATCAATAAAAATATATTTAATTAAAATAAAGTAACACATGAAATTAATTTTAATATATTTATTTAACCAATATGTTCAGAACATTATCTTTCTGTCATGTAATCTACATAACAAAATATTAATCAGATATTTTAAATTATTTTTTCGTATAAGTCTTCAAAATCCAGTGTGTTAAAGCACACTTAGAGTAACTCTTAGTTTGGACTACTCACACTTTTAGTGCTCACTAACTACATGCAACTAGTGACTATTGGATGAGACTGTGCATGTCTAGACAATCCAACCTCTAAATATTCTCATAGAAACAGACTGATTATTTGCTAGATAGATTCTTAAAACTAGAGGTCAACATTCTTCTTTGTAAAATGCAGGGTCAATACTTTTCAGGAGAAGTAAGTAGACTTCAGTTTAATTATTTTACTATTGAGTACTTAGCTATATCCTCTTTCACTCATAAAGAAATGTAGCAAAGAAAATTAAAACTTTCCCCCAACTTTTATTCACCTTTCACCAGCTTTTGATTTGGTGAGCTGGAGCCAGCTGGGCCAAGAGTGTATGAACTTTACTTGGATTCCTGGTATTAATATTACTGTCGACTCGACCTTTTAATACCTTCTACAGAAATAGGGTGGGCAGGAATGGCTTCTTGACAGAGCACCTTGTTGTAAGTGTGATTATAAACAATGTATCTTGAGTACCACTTCCTTTAAATGTATGTTAATAGTTTGGTATCGCTTTTGGATGAAAGGATAGAAACATTTACCTTCTCTCTTGAAATAGTAAATAAGAGTGTCCTTGAAGACGCTGATGGAGTTATTCTGTTGTCATGAATCAGCCATAGCACTACAAGACAAAGTTTCTAGTATCAGCAAGATGAAGGGATCATCATTACCTGTGAAAAAAAGAAAACAAAAAATAATATTAACAAAATAAAAATCTATAATAATAAAAGCATAATATGCTAATTAGACCAGATAGCCGAACGACCTTCTGGATGTCATTCTGGATGTTTTTCCAGATGAAGCTGTAGTGGCGGGGGGCCAAGGCATAGGCAGTTAGGGGTGATGAGGCAGGCAGGCGAGCAGTTAGGAGCTAGCGGTCCCAGATTTCAAGAGGGATGTCCGACTGCCGGTTTAGGCCCGCGGGATTGGGCCTAAACTGGCAGTCTGACATCCTCTGAGGGGTCCTGGGTTGCGAGAGGGTACAGGCTGGGCTGAGGGGACCCCCTCCCCATGCATGAATATCGTGCACCGAGCCTCTAGTTTAAAATAAAATATTTAAATTAAATATCTGATTTAATTTTTAAGTGTTCAATGTTAAATGAAGGTACACAGGAGTTCAGTTTGTTCACTTAACCTAGATGAGTGCTTTATGGTTAATTCATGTTGGTAGGTTCGTATTTTAGATATGCTTATATCCCTAACATCTACCACAGTTCTGGGCACCCAATGTGCAGTCCATAAATACTTGCTGAATTGAATTAAAGTTAGCCATCTGGGCCCTAGCTGGTTTGCCTCAATGGATAGAGCATCCACCTGTGGACTAAAGAGTCCCAGGTTGGATTCTGGTCCAGGGCACATGCCTGGGTTAAGGGCTCAATCCCCAGTAGGGAGCGTGCAGGAGGCAGCTGATCAATGATTCTGTCTAATCATTGATGTTTCTTTTCTTTTCTTTTTAAAAAAAATATATTTCTTTATTGATTTCAGAGAGGAAGGGAGAAGGAGAGAGAGATGGAAAC